CCTTTTTGGCCGTAAAAGTAAAATAAAGGTATCTTAGCTATCGTATAATCACCGGACAGCTGAGGTTTGCGGCAAAAAGTAGTATGTTTGATACTTTACAACACGTAAAGGGTCCTCGATACTAAGTCTACACTTTTGTATGCACTTTCTTCATAGAGATATATGAGGTTTTAACTGACCATACGTGATCACATAAAAAACCTGTCCCTACATTTAGTGAAAAAGTTCGATTTTTTTGTAAGATGTTTATTTTTTCTTTTCGTCTTTTATTATAAATGTTTCTTTTTACAAAATTTACCATGGTTTATCAATTGAGCATCATCGGTAAGGTACAATCAGCTTGTTATAGCTTCGAGACCACGCGCGATAAAAACGTCAATTTTTTATCGTAGATGGTAGACAGTAAGCTACAAAAAAAAAGATTTTTAAAAATTTATTAAAAGGAAGTGAAGTTATACACATTACATCTTAAATTCTTAAAAAAAAACGGTATAATACCAACGCAATTCAGTGATATTTCGGTACATTGAATACACAAGTCGCTTCTAAATTATTGGTGCATTAGTTGAATATATTTTTAATGTTATCATTCTACAATTAATTGATAACATTCACGAGTGTCAATCGGATCGAATTATACGGATAATATAGTTCGCATGTGAAGCAAATTAGTTAAACAGTCCTTTTGATATAGTTTGTATAAGTGTGTGGGTAATGATCTATCTCTTGCGGTAGAAAATGTACTTTTCTTGGCAAATTTAACGTAAGACAAAGCTAATCTATCTTGTTCTGCCTTACTTTCACATTGTCTTGATGGCAGACTTCGCCTGTTTATCTATTCTATTTTTTTCTTCTTTTATTAGGGGTATCAATTTTTTTGATCACCAAATGTTCCAGCATGAATCTCACATTTTTATTTCTCAACAAAGGATAATTTATACCACAAACATATTTATTGAAATATTAAACAAATGAACAATATTTTTACAGCTTTATTTATATCTATTTACAAATTTAAAGCTGTACTAACTTTCTTGGGACGCCCGTTTGCGTTTTGTTTGCCTAATGGTTGAATATGTGCTTTATCGCTGACTCGATACAAGTTAAATAAATTTGCTAATCCAACAGATTGTTGCCACATCAGAAAATCATTGAATGTAAGCCACTGACGAGAACGATAAATATCTAGCTAATGATACATTCAATGACTTTCTGGTGTGGCTACAATCCCCTTGGCTTGTTGTACCAGAATCATGCAGCTGTCCGGTTGGTGTAAAACATATTCGTGTAAACATTCTGTTGGATTAGCAATTTTATTTAACTTGTATCGAGTCAGCGGTAAAGCACATATTCAACCATTAGGCAAACAAAACGCAAACGGGCGTCCCAAGAAAGTTAGTACAGCTTTAAATTTGTAAATAGATATAAATAAAGCTGTAAAAATATTGTTCATTTGGTTAATATTTCAATAAATATGTTTGTGGTATAAATTATCCTTTGTTGAGAAATAAAAATGTGAGATTCATGCTGGAACATTTGGTGATCAAAAGTATCTTTTTTGATGATCATTTGTATCTAAAAGTGTTGTCTTTCTTTTCGATTTTCAGATGAGTAAGAGGAATGTGACTTGTTTGTTTTTCCATACTTTTCGTCTCGCTCTCGCAGAACTTTAAGATTTTGATGAAGAACATCCTTGTTTCGTTTGCTCCTTTCCATACATAGTGCTGAATAGACACAGTTTTGTTCTACATGAACATGTCCATCTAATGCAAGATTTCTGAGACGAAATATTTCAATAGGAATGCTTGCTTACTTCTACTAACCAAGGCTAGTTTCGTTTACATGATAAAATCTTTATAATCTCATTATATAAAAAATTAGATTAACACTGACTTTCTTTTAGCTTTTACACAATATTCCGCTACATTTCAGTATTTTTTACTTTAAATCGCAACTTTTTTACAATGTATAGTGCATGCAAATTCCGTCAAGAAGAAAAACAAAGAGAGAAACAAAGAATATTTTAATTCAATATTTTCTCTTTTTTGCTTACTTTTCTCTGTGCCCATCTGGATAATGTCGTCTATTTCTTTGATCTTCACTTAAAGATTCTCTTTCTCTTATACAGAAATGATTTGACCATATAGTGTTGCTACTTCGATGCTGCGAAAATGAGGAAGTAAAAGTGGAATAAAAATCATGGCTTTCCACGAGCTTATAGTACATTCGCGAAATGCGCAAATTTGTCAGATCATTATGGGCAATGATACAAATATTTAGAAAAAAAGTAATATTGAACATTCTTTACATAAGTGATAAAGTTCCTCAATTGATCTATCTTGTTATATAATTCATGGCTCTATCGGGAAAACGAGAAAGTGGCATAATGCAAAATGGCCTACAAAAGCTGACTTTTGAAGCATGTTTTCTCTTAAATTAATGTTAAATTAAAAATGATTCCACGTATGCGATTACTTATTAACAAAAAATTGTCTAGATGGAATCTAGAACAATAGTTTTGATAGTAACTAACAAATTTTTTTAAAGTTCACTCTTTCAGTACGATAGGTTTCTAAAGTTTTTCCCGCACTCAGCATGGCTCAAACTTTGCACAAATATTCTTATATAAGACATTCATGGTTTAAGTACGACAATGACCTTTTACTCTGAATTCCACTTAAGCATTCTCATATAACCACACGTTTTTATGTATATTTCGTTTTTCTGAGTTCACAAGTGTTTTAATATACTCTGACTCAGTGCTAGCATGTTAAGCCCATCGGTCAGAAACCTATCTCAGCCCAGGTGGATCTGATCTGAACCAAACTTTCAGGGAATATTGACCATGTCAAAGTGTAGTAACGAGATTTTTTTTTTGGCCATACTTGCATCTATTCCTGGGAGGGCGCCACAACAAGAGCCAAAAATAGGCGTCTACCACGTGCAAGAATTTTCATTCCAGGTAAATGATAGAGAGCTCGGTCTATTTTTTTCCGAAAAATCCTTTGAAGGTTTCTTGGAAATCCTCATTTCTATAAAAAATGGAAACATAATTTAAAAATCGGACTCTGCCAACTTCTACCTAGAGGTGTTATATATAACTCAAAAAAAAAATTTTTTTTCGTTCGCCGATGTATCGTTACTAAGAATGCCTGCACGTTGCGAAAGCCCTGAAGTTAAAAGAACTAACTGGTTTTTATTGAAATCTGAATATACTATAGCAGAAATATACTGATTGAAACAAGCCTCTAGAACTCCGTGCTCCGCATAGAGCCCCCGAAGCCATTTTAGCGAAACCCGCAAATCGCTGGACGGACTATGATAGTACACTTGGTGTACTTCAGTAGTATACTAGGGGGCTTCAGAATTGCCCCGTTTCCATGGAGAAAATCATTTCTAAAAATCGCCCAAAATGGTTATTTTTGGGCAAAATTGCAACTTTCATGGCGTCTGTATTGAAAACGAAAGCACCGGAGACCGTCAAACTTTTACCAAAGATACTTTGGCATATAATCTATTTGGAAATATGGTTGAAAGTCTTATGGTCTACTTTGTTTCAAATGGGTGCTACAGCAAAGTTCAGGGTTTTCCGGATTTGGGCCCTTAGTGCACAATCTCTTACAAAATAACGAAAGGATGTTTTGAGCTCGCGGCTGCGTGGTTTTGTAGCTCACACTATCTACTATTTATGGGGAAATCTCCGAGGCTAAGTAACCTGTTGTTATTGAATTACAAGAGTTTAAAGTTGGCAAATTTTCAAGATGGCGAAAGCTACGTTGTTCGGGACTTTTCGTAAAATATCAATATCTCACAATGATACAACTTTTTGATTTGCGGCTTTGACCGAAATTTATTAAAACGTTTTGTCTACAAGAACTCCCTACTTTGGTAAAGTTTTGAAAGCATCGATTGAAGGCTACTCCGCTGTAATAGGTCGTGGCTTACATGCAATGGCTCTTAATGAAAAAGAGCTATGCTATATTGCTAAAACATCTTTTCACTTCAAATTATAGGATGTGATGCTGCCAAATAGCATGATAAATAAATAAGACTAAATGCTGGCGTTCAGTCTTTATTTGAGTTGTTTTTCTCAATGTAGGTATAGCCTATAGTCACTGATGCTGTTTATAGATAAGTTTGACTTTTTTGATAATAAAACTAAATAGATGGAAATTTCCCATTATCTAATGTTTTCGAGGTATAGTTTTGTAACAACATATCTATTTAACCAGGTCCTCGTTTCATTTATGCTTACGTTAGACAAAAAAATTAGACCTGCCGTTTGTTTATTACTCTTTTATACTATATATATATATATGTGTATGGTACGAACAAATTTCACCCAGATAGACAAAGAACGCTACGATTCTATGTTTTCTCTTGTTTTTCACGTGACTACATAGTACACTACAGATCGCACAGATTTCTGTCGTAAAATTTATTTTCTTTATCATTCATTCATTTTGATTCTCGAATGACACAATCGTTTTTTTAAAATCAGTTTTGTACATTGATACGACCAACCCACTCTAAAATTTTATCGTCAGGTATGTTCAATTTTAGTAGAACTTAAGATTAGAAAATAGATGCTTGGAGGAATGTAATGTCAAACTGACCTTATCTGGTGGCCGACAGCCGTTAGATCTAGGAGAAAGTATGATAGTGGATTAAACAAAACCTGATCTGGAATTTCTTACTGACAAGCTTCGATATTAAGAGATGTGCGAGATTATGTCTTCTCGAATGGGGTCTTTTCACTTTAGCATTTAGGAACTTATAAATATTACGCTGGCCCTCTGAGCCTTATTTGGATGCTCATTTTTTATGAGAGACAGAATTGCATAAGTTTTCGACTCACATGGAAAAAGAGTGAAAAAAGTGTAAGAAATAGTTCTCAAAAAAATCTCTCTTTGACCCTCTTCCACGGTATTAAGAGGATCTGCGCACTATCATTACGTGCGATCTTCCGTTTCAGTCGATCAGTTTCAATTGCTTTTAGAATGTTTCAATCGTTCGTTCCATCTGCTCTGGTTTATTCAGTAAGTAGAATTTTCTATTTTGGTTAAATCTTTTTCTAAATATTTACTCTTCTTTAGTACCATCATCCGATTAATGATTGTACACCTAGACAAAATTATAAATTACTTTCATCTGGTGAACTCGATTATGTAAGAGTACTTAGGTGTATATTTTTCTTGTCTTTCCCGTTTCCTTATTTTAGTTACGTGTGTATTGTGGTGTTAAAATCGAGTTAGATGGGCAATATATACCGGCTGGAATAAAATTACCAGCAACGCACCGTACACCATTATGTTTTAAGGTGTCAGCGTATGATCTTCGATCATTCGATTGTATGTTGTCTACTTTTTATCCGTTTCATATTCATAATTATATAGGAAATCGTTGTTTTTGTAGCATTCAAAGAGCGTATTAACTCATATTTAGCTCTTAGTATCGCTGCTAAAGAAGAAAACTATGAACGAATTGATACAGAAGTAAGCAGTTTTTTTAGCTAAAACTGGATGAGTAGAGTTATCGTTATCCTTCTTGAATTTAAAGAATAGAAGCAGGATAATGTTCACTACTGTCCGGTTGTCGTATGTACAAAGTTAGCTTCAGTTATGTGAATAGGCTGTTCAAGTAAAAGAACCAGCATTTGCCTTCTTTTAGGGTACAACGCAAAACATCTGGTATGTTTTTAATGGTGTTCCAAATTATGATATTCCTACACATGCATTTCAAAAACAAGTAAGCAAATATCGATTGAGTTTATCGAGATGAGTAAGATTTTTCCATGTAACAAAATGAAATAGCGAAGAAATATTTTTAGGCTCATGTGGGTGTGTGTTGTTCTATGTTCAAAAACTAATAAAAAAGGAACCAACAACTTTCCTGTGACACACAACTCTCTCGAAAGTGACTAAAATAGAAAAATCAAAATCAGTATAAATTCGATTATACCGTTCTTGAACCAACAAGACGCGTTGTTCATTGTCGATTTTTCATTTGGCTTTCCCGTCGATGGACGGTTTCATGAGATTGCTGACTGACAGCCATGAAACATAATTTTTTATTTCGATAATGACCATGAATTTGATATTCGTCCGTTCGGCTAAAAGAAATCTCAAGTACCGTACCATAGACCCCAGATCTCCAGAAATGTGTACAAGATTTTCGAACCTGAAATTCTCTATACAAATATAAGTTGATTTGGTATACAGTCTAATGCTGTCAGATTTGTGATCAGCACAGAAAATAGCCTTTGAAAACCTGTGCTTTGAGAAGATCGGACATCTCGTGAGGACATCTCAACAGTCGAACATTTGCTTTGTCGTATGTAGCTAAAAAAGTTTCTTTATAAAGTATAGTATTTGTCTTTTCCTAAACAAGATTATCAAAATAAACGTTGTGATTTGTGCTATCACAATAACGTTTAAAACCTGTAATACTTTACTTAATAAAAATTTTCACATTAACAGCTTCAATTACGCTTGTAGTGCACCATGCAGAATAAATTAGTTTTTACGTATTTTTTGAATCACGTTTTTTCCTGCACCTAGTGCTAAAGTAATGCTGGAAGCTGATACCCGTTGCGAGCTGTAAATCAGCTGATCGTTAGTTTTAGGCTAACAGATATCTTCATTACTTTTCAAAATTCAGGATAATGGATGGACGAGAGGTCAAACCTATCCGACCACAATGAAGTTTTCAGTTTCTTTTTTCCTCATTTCCTATATATACTCATAATCATTTTTTTAAAAACAAAACCTATGTAAAAGGATATTTCAGGTTAAAATCTTATAACAAAGCCATTTTAGTTCTTTACTTAAGCGCGATCACATGTATGTCTCATCTCATCGTCATTTGTATCTCTGTGCATCTGATTAAAGGATGTCAGTTTTGAGAATTTTCCATATCAATCAAATTTGCAACGTATTTTCATGTGTCAATAGCAGGACCTTGGTAATGAACGTTTCTATTTTGTTTGCTACAGCTAAATCCATTTTGTATAATTTTATCTAGTAATCTGATCTTTCGGGTCACCGATTTATCATCAGAGTAAAAAGATTGTCAATGTTAATAGTAATAAAACTACGCGATCAGTAAAACATAAATATAAACAATCTGTACGTAAAACGTGGTATATGTATAACAATTTTACGTTCCTTTCAACTACATATGTAACTTTGTACCTAAACAGTACGTATATGAACTATAAATCTAGGCTAGAAAAAGAAAGAAAGAGAAAGAAACTAAAAGAAATATGACTCCTGTTCGTACTTAGATAGATGTAACTAAAGTAGAATTCAAACTAAACCGTCTACAATAATACTAATGAACGTACAACGGTACTCACTTGTTCGTATCATTCTGTTAATTTCGATAAGATTAAAATATTAGCTAGAACCACAGATCCTATTAATTGCTAGTTAGAGAACTTTTAGCTATTCGAACCAATGCATCACAATTTAACGGTACCGTTGTACGTTTTTCCTGAGAGTTTTGTTTCTTCTAATTAGCGTTTTCAATAAGGAAGACGAGAGAGAACGTTCATGTAGATTAAGGATTGTGTGAAATAATTTTCATTAGTATTATTG